TGTTGATAAGAATAGAAAAAGAGTTCAGGAAAGACATGAATTATGGAGGTCTAAATTGGAGACTAAAAGTCTTAGTTTGAGTAGATCTAAAACTGAATACATGAAGTATAATTTTAGTAGTAGTAGCAAGAGTTGTAACTATTGGTAATCAAATCATTAAAAGGTGTGAAAGTTTTAGAAATCTCGGTTGCATTTTTCAAAGTGATAGTGATATAGATGGACAAGTTACTGTTAGAATTCAAGTTGGTTGGTTGAAGTGGATAAATGCATCAGGTTTGTTGTGAATAGAAAAGTACCGCTTAGACTTAAAAGGAAAATTTTATAAGATAGCGGTGAGCTCTACAATGCTCTATAATGCAGAATGTTGGCCTTTAAAAGAGAAGCATAAAACAAAGTTAAGTGTTGCCAAGATGAGAATGCTTAGGTTGATGAGTGGCTTGACACTTGGAGACAAAATGTGAAATGAATATATCCGTGATAGGGTTGGTGTATCCAGTGACTGAAAAGATTAGAAAGAGTGGTCTTAGATGGTTTGGTCACATTAAACGTGGACCATCTTATGATCCGATTATGAGAGTAGATGTTTTAGATTTGACTTATGTTAAGAAAGATGAAGATAAAACGAAAAAGACTTGGACATATTGTATAAAAAATAATCTTAATTTATTACAATTGAATGAAAATATGACATTTAATAGAACGCAATAGAGACAAAGGATTCATGTAACCGACCCCACTTAGTGAGAAAAAAGCTTGCTCCGTTATTGTTGTTGTATAGAGATACTCACAAAAGATATGTAAATGAGTTACCTTTGCGCATAACATAATTCTAATTGGTGAGACATCCACAAAAAGAAGTGAAAAATAAGACAATAGAACACATTATTTAAAAAATAGATGGATTGGAATTAACGTACTTGGCATATGATATGTTAAAATGGGTATGATGCTAAAAATTAAAATTCAAAATATAAGAAGAAGAGAAGACTACCTATATATATACTATAAAAATTTAAATGTCATGAAAGATTTAAAAGGGAGGTGTATATAAGAATGCAAGATTTAAATGTTGTGAATATACTATAAAGAAGAATGGATATATAAATGAGAATATAAATTCTAAGAAAATATTGAACAATTAAAAGGGAAGTGTATCAAGAGATTCCTGAGAAAAAACAATAACATGAAGACTTGAAAGATAAATTTTATAAAACCATGATTAGTCTAAAAAAGATGTATACATTTGAATGTTCATGCACACACACAAATGTAACTTCAAATTTAAATAATAAAAAAACCAAAAATATTCAGTCAAATTATTTGACTAACATGTCAACTGATTAGAATATTTACATAAATATCACTCAATTCCTATGTAGTTACACATCTAACACCAAAACTATAAATTTTAGCTACATAGCAAATAACCTATTTATGAAAATAGTATATTTCACCTTTCAAAAGATAACATTGTAGTATTTTTGCCAGTGATATAAAGGTTTAGGGTGGTATAAATGTAAATATCACCAAAGCATCACTGTCCTTCCAGCCTTAAGCCCCTCCATTGCCGTCCTTGCCGCCTCTAATGTTCCAGTCACTCACAGAGAGATGTAATATGGAAATAGTATGCAAATTTAATAACAATTATATAAAAATATAATTAAGATTTTTAAATTTATTTTAAAAAATTTATATAAAAAAATTACGCTAATTAATCCTTAAAAAATGATTAACTACGACCACTTACTATCATGAATCTTTGATCAAAAATTAATAAATAATAATTTAATGAAGAATTTAAAACTAATGCCACTGATACCACATTAGCTAATGGTTTATGCCTATTTGATATATTATTTATTAATTAAATACACTGTTTGGTATATTTAATGTTTTATGTGCATATTTATGCCTAATTAGAATCCTTTACCAATTTAATAATTATTCAAAAATTAATTATCCTAATTCAGCAAGTTTTTTTAAATATGTTAATAAATAATTAATATCAATTTAGCTATTTAATTAGAGGTTATCATAATCATCGACACGTTGAAGGCTACTATAAGAGTTTATATTGCATGCTTGAATGCCACCAAAAAATTTATATGGTTTGGCATGAATCTCACTGTATTTTAGATAAAAGATTTTTCTAATTTAAATTCAGGATCTCTAAGCTTTGTTTTCAAAAAAAAAAACTTATAATCAAACTGAATCTCTTGACAATATCAGCCCAGTGACACTGAAAGTGATTCAATCTGAGTCCAAATAATCCTGAATCAAGCATTTGAAGTATATTTAAAAGATTTAGAATATCAATTGGAATGTTAAATTATTTCAAAATCCAATATACTTATAGTCAAATAAAGCAGCTCTACGACAGTAATCTAACGAGCCCAATATCATTTAATTTTGAGGTCATCAAAGCATTTAAATGTTAAAAAAATTATATGTGATCAAGAAAATCAACATAGACTATGTAATTTAGAGTTTAATATTCTGGATGAATTTATCAACATGTCTCTTCTCTAAAACTATCAATAGGGTCTCATTCTTCACATATGAGTGAGAGAGATTGGGGGTGACAACTAAGTCATTACTCGTCAAGAAAATTGCAAGTGAACAACCACTAGTTATTGTCAATCACTATCATCAATTGTTGCAGTCAGCTGCACTAGTTGTAGCCATCATCTACGACTTTTATAGCAAATTATGTTTGTTGTACCTAAGGACTATAGTTATTGTAGCTCAGTTACGATTTTTGCAGCTAACTACTATTATTGTAGCCATAACCTACAGTTGTTGTAATTTAATTATGATTGTTTTAGCCAAACTACTCTTATACACTTGTTATTATTAGTTTTTATAATCTCATATTTCCCTAATTCAAAAGAAGAATATACCTCTATTTTTAATTTTCTAATGCTTTACTTTAACTAGGCTTGGCCCACTAATTTTATTCATTTCTAGGATTTTTACACGTAAAAAATATTGTTATTTCTTGCACTTTTGCTTATGTGTGTGTTGACAAATTATATTGAGCTAAGGCTTATGATTTTTCTTCCTATTTAGCAACAAGGCTATCTCAAAATTCATAAATTATTACGAGGGAGATAGAATTGTGGATAAAGTTTTATCTATATAAACTTATATAATTTTTATTTGCATATCTTTTAGAATTAACCTTTCAAGTTTGTAATAGCTTATATTAAATATGTGAGAAACATGAAAGAAAAACCATTTATTTTCTATAAATTTATCGTGAATTTACACAACCAAATTACTTGATTATGTTGAACTCTTATATTTCTATTGGAATGTTGTTTTCTCTTATTGAATTTTAAACCTTCAATGCATACCATTCAAATTGCATGGAAACATCAGTGTATTGTGGGCTCCTCTGCTTGATTTTCCTCTATTACCCGTCCTCTTGCGATAGAGTTGAAGCCATGTAGCTAATCAAATAGTTGAAGAAACCAAGGGATTAAAACTATTTGTTAAGCTAAATTTCCTTCAAAAAGACAAGCCTTGTAGGCTATTAAAAGCTGAACTTTCATTAAATTAAACATTAGAATGCAATGGTTATTGGAGCCTATGAGAACACGGTGACATACGAAAAGTATAATTTAGGTTTGTTAGATTGATTGGACCTTGTTTCTTTTGTTTGGAAAGATGTCAGATTTTTCTAGAGTCAAGAAAAGCTAAATTGCCATTTAAATTGTTCTTTTTAGCTCATTTCAAAACAATAAAGTAGTTGATTTGATACATTCTTTTATAGTACACATAAAAAATACAATAGTTATGATAGGTTAAGCTGAGCCTTTTTAGAGGAAGAAACATTCAAACCCCAATTGAATATCATCTAGAACTTTGATCTCAAGAAATTACTATAAAATTGACCAGCTCAGTAGGACAAACATAATGACACGGTTTGGTCCAATTCGAGCTAAATCATGCTCATATCGAGCAGTTAAGCCAATTTTTTAATTTTATAACATCTAATTGAAAGATCAGATAAAATCCAAATCTGACAAACTTATAATCAAATTGAGCATCTCAACAAGGCAAATCTAGCAAGTCCAATATCACTCAATTTTGACATTATCAACACACTCAAATATCCACAAAATATAGTTTGGTCAAGAAAATGTGGCTGCAGGAGTGGCATAGATTCATTTCTTATTTGAAAGGCCTCTCCTAGACTCTATAAATAGAGTCACCCCTAATTATTTTTTATTATATGATCCACATTTTTGGCATCCTCCTACTTATTGCATTAATATTCTAACAACCATTTTACACACAAGCATACGAAATTAATGACAGATTAAATAATTGAAAATTCAATGTCACCTACCCACTCCCCTATTATTATGACTTGTATTTTTTTTTTCAATTATTATTTTCAATAAAGGGATTAATGAAAACATAAATGAAACTATAAAAAGATTTAATATCTAAATAATTATTATTTGTATAAAAAAGGTAAAATAGGCGCATCAACTTCATATGCATTTTTACTGGTAATTTCAAATTCAGTTTATTCACACCCAATATATCCTTAAATATTATAACAAATATTTTTTTTGTTGATTATCATTTGTAACATTTACATAGTTGATAAATAATAAAGAATAAAGGAAATTTATTTACATACCACACAACTCTTATGTAATTACACATCTAACCCCCCAAAATTTAATAATTTACACTAACAAGCTATTGGTGTCATAAAGTTGTGCGTGAAAATGCTCATATCACTTTTAGAAAATAATTATGATGATATTTTGCTGTTATTTTGGAGATTCCAATTATATGCATATAAATATGAATGTTTAGGTTTTATGTATGTAAACCACAAAAAATAAAGAATTGTAGGATTGAAGCAAATGACAAGGAGGCAGTTTTACTAATTATTTATTTATTTAATAAATTGGAGCATGCATTGCTGTAAAAGATAGAACAACAGAGCCAAGTCAAGATTTGTGACATTTAAACTGTAGGAGTAGTCATCAAATGAGCTTTTTGCTTGAAAACGAGCGATGGATAAACAAACAAGAAGTAACAATGACTTGCATTGACGTCGAAATATTGTCCTGACATTAACAATTTATCATGTATTGGCAACACACAAAACCATTTGCAGGAAACAAGAGAAAGTAGTTGTCATTTGGTCGCCTTCCTTTGCCATCAAAACTAAATGCGTGAATTTTATAAAAGCAGCCAAAGCTACAAAGGTCACAAACAAAAGCAAATCAGACTGTAATTCATTTGTGACAATGTTATCAAAATCAGCGCAGGCTCACTGAACGATTCTGCTCAACATCAAGGCTATGTTTTTGGCTGACGTTTTGGGCCAAAGTAGTTGGTGACCAACCCCATAATGGCAAACCTACAAGATTATCTGTATTTCAGACTACTGCAATCACAAATCACAACTTTACTGCACGCCCGCGCGCACATACACACACACAAACCAAAAAAATGAATAATAGATATGTATGTATGTATGTATGTATGTATATATATGTATGTATGTGTGTGTATGTGTGTGTGTGTGTCTATATATATATAGTTAAATTAAACTAAACCAAGCCCAGGATTAAATAGTATCTTTATATTATCAAAACTTTTTAATATAAAAAAATAAGCACCAGTCCAACTGTTCCTCTCAGGCTTAGTTACATAACATTATTGAATTCTAAAAGGGATAATGAGTTCCATAGTAATAGTTATATACAATTTTAATGAAAGATGAACTGAAAAATGTGAGCGGACATATTCAGAGTTTACTTACATCATGGCCATGGATATCTGTTTAAGATCGTTTTCAAAGTTCCTCATGTTCACAAGAGATTCAGCACAGAAAATAATAGCCAGCCATGAGCACAACTTATACTGCAGATCAAATCATGAAACAGGTCAATATCCCCTGTCGCTCATTATTGGTTAATAAAAAGATCAGCTGCTGTATGTGTAGAAATAAAGCAGCATAAAATTTCTCAAAAATCAATCCAAGATAATGAAAAACACCAAAATAAAACATACTTAGAACTTGTTTTATACTCACAAGCAACACCAGTCAAAATTTACCAAATCATAACTAAGAGCTCAACACCGTATATGCAGTCAAAAAAAAAAAAGGTGCTCGAACAGAAGAAGCAACACTTTGAGGTTCATATTTCAATGTGCCTTGCAGAAACTCCGGCTAAAACACAACGGGGTAAATAAACTCAACACTTAATAGTTTAAACATGTAGAGTGAAAAGGAAAATCAAAAAAATATTATATTTCAAAGCGGCTGCTTGAACCATTCACAGATGAAATCTAAAATGGGATTTGGTCAACTATATACAAGAAAATGTGACCAAATTTCACAATCGTGTTGTAGTTTTTGGGAGCAGAAAACAATAATTATTCCTCAACTATTCCGTAGGAAACATTGTAAGATAAACAGCGGGGGAAGGCTACCAAGAAATCCACATGCTTAAACCAAGGAAAAAAAATTTCAACTTAACAACAATAAGAAATTCCAAAAAAAGGATATCTTAACAAGGAAGATAGATACTAAAAAAATAAAACTATCTAAAATTGCAACACTCCCCTCAAGTTAGAGCATAGATATCTACCATGCCCAAATTACTATAAATAGCTCAAAACTAGGCTTGAAAAACTTTTGTAAGGATATCTGCTATTTGTTGAGTAATTTTAATAAATGGCATGCAAATAGCTTCATCATCACTTTTCTCTTTTATGAAGTGTATGTTAATCTCCACATGTGTGATCATGCTACATTGAATTTTTTATAATAGTTATGACTTTTTTATTATCAAAGTACAACTTCATTGTCATGTTATCTTGATCCAAACTCTTCAAGAATTCTCTTCAACCATAACATGTGACATATTCTATTAGTCATAGCTCTAGATTTTGCCTCAACACAACTTGCAATCACATTTTGTTTCTTACTTCGCCATGTAACCAAGTTTCCCTAAACATACGTAAGGTATCCAAAATTCGATCCACTGTCAATTACTGATTCTGCCTAATTTGCATCAGAGTATTTCACGATATTTTGTTGTGTGGTCTTTTGAAAGAGTAAGCCCTATTTTGGTGTACAGTTTACATATTTGAGAATCCTATTAAATGTCAGAAGGTCTCTTTCAAAAAGTGAATAGATAAATTGATTTATCAAACTCATAGTAAATGTAATACCTGGTCGCATATGTGATAAGTATATCAACTTTTCCACCAACTTTTAATATCAAACAGTATTCACTAGGTCACCTTGTTTCCCATCTCCCAATTTTTTATTGGCCATTAGAATGTTTGTAGGCCTACACCCACTCATCTCAATTTCCTTTAGAAGAACAAGAACAAACTGCCGTTGGGAAATAACAATCCCTTTTTTCGATCTAGCGGCCTCCATGCCAAGGATATATCTCAGAGGTCCCAAGTCCTTGATCCCACAGATGATAGGGAAGTCTTTAAACAGATCATCTCATATACGTCATCTCTGGTAAGAATTGACATCCACACCCACAAGCAATAAGACCAACTTCTCATCCTTTGAAAGTTTGAAAAACATTTTATAATCTCCTTGTCATTAAGTGTACCCCTAACCTTTAACAAATAGTGTCAAACTTCTCAATAAAGCTCGGAGGTGCATCCACATACAACTCTAAGTAACCCATTGAGAGTCCTTTTTTATATGCAGTTGTTGTAAGGGCCAGTTAATGTTAGCTGCAAGTGATAGAACTCTTATAAAATTTAGTTTTGTAATTGGGGTGAATGTCTTTAAGTAATCAAGCCTTGTACCATTCTGAAAAGCCATCGAAATTATATTTGACTATAAACACTCATTGGCACCGAACAATTATCTTTCCTCTAGATAGATCAATCAATTCCCACGTCCATTTTTTTCAAGAGCTTTAAACCTCGACAACAACCTCCTTCCACTTAGGAATTTCAGGATATCCTGCATAACATTAGGAATCTTCATACAAGACAATTGTGAGATAAAAGCACGACAAGTGGGTGAGGTTTTCATATGACATAATGGGATAATGGGTGTTGGGTGCACAACCTTTCCCCCTTAAAAGCAACCATCGGAAGACTAGACGCAATAGACTTAGGATTGGAATTAGACTCAGGTTCAGGATTAGAAGACTCAGAACGTGAAGATGAAGTGACATGAATATAGAGTAAAGCATCAGTGAGGATATTACCAGGAGAGTTCCTGGTTTTGGCAGTGCAAAGGATCCGTAAGCCCTTTCTTTTAAGTAGACCAAATGGTAACAATGTCATCATTCTTTTCTTTTGTTTGTTTCTTCTTTGTTATGAACATCACAAGATGACATTGTAAGGAAACCTGAATTGTCCTCAATATCTAAAAGACGACCTATTTTCCTCTGGCATAATACAACAACAACAACAACAACAACAAAGCCTTAATCCCACTACGTGGGTTCGGCTACATGAATCCTTTTTCCTCTGGCATAATATGATTTAATTTTTGTAGGTTGAACAATCAAAATTTGAGCGGGAGGGGAGGGGGGTTATTTTATTAGTTTTCGATTTGAAGATTGTAATTAAAAAAGAAATGATATACATGGTAACTAACATTTTTTTACAATTAGAGTTAAAACATTTATACCTCTTTTCGTTAGGAGCATAACCAACAAATACTTTTTTTTTTGCTCGAAGGTCAAGTTTTCCTTAATCATAAGTAATTTAGAGGTAAAAAAGATTAGAGATGATTTGTTAGATAAGTTCTATGTCAAAGTTTAAAACTTTATTGAATGTTCTATTTATGAGAAATGTAATACTAACTTGGCACTTGATTGGTGAGTAGCAAAGCCCAAGAGTTAACAACGATGGAAAAATCACGAAATGTTAACAACGATGTGAATTTAATAGTTCTTATCCTGACAATTACCAAGAGGGAAGCATTGATAATTCTGACATTTTTAGTGTCTCACATGGTATATAAGAGAAAAATAATTTAGAACTAGTCATATGATAAGTTTTCATGATCAATTCTCTTAAAACGAAAAAAATTAAGAGTAACACATATCATTACAGTAGCTAAATAGTTACCATATTGTACTAAAGCGCAAAACAAAGTGGAGAAAATTTTAGAGATTGAAACAATTTGTACAAGAGTTCTAATTGCTCCTCAATGAACATCATCACAGTTTGCAGAAAGCTCTTGAATTTCTTGCGCTTGCGCTTACTCGGCAAGAACTGGAAGAAGGTTGGATGGTTCAAACATCTACCAAGAAAAGGAAAATTAAGGGTAGTAGAGAATTAAGCTATCTTAATCCTGATGCTTACTTTCTCCATCCTTAAAAAAGAATTTGGAGAAGCCTGAATTGCTTGTTAATTCTGATTTTAATAGAGGAAAGTTTGGTAATGATGAAGTTTAACTCTCTTATCTGGAATATTAGAGGCATTGCTAAGCTTTCTGCTTCTAATAGGCTTAATAATTTGATTTGTGCTTATAATCTTAATTTTTTTTGGCTTTTTGGAGTCTATGGTTGTTGCTGATAATAATTATAAATATTTGAGGAGATTTGGTGCTTTCAAATCTATTGCAAATATTAATAATAAAATTTGGTTTTTATGGAAGGATTTTTTTAGTATTGATATTCTTATCAATCATATTCAACTACTACATCTTCGTGTTTGTTATCTTAATGAATCTTTCCTTTTCACTATTATCTATGCTCGATGTAATAAGAAGGCTCGTATTGAGTTTTGGACTTTAATTAAATCCATCACTGTTTCTAAGAAGCTTGGTTGATGGGTGGAGATTTTAATTCTTCTAGTTCTGAAAAGAAAGGGGGAATTCCTCCTAATTTTCCCCTCGTCACTGAATTCAATGAGACTTTGATAGATGTTGGGCTTTATGATTTGGGTTATATTGGGAACACTTTTACTTGGCATAGAGGTAGAGTGTTTGAAAGGCTTGATCGTTTTGTTGTCAATTCTTCTTGGATTAGTACATTTTCTCAACATAAAGTTCAACATCTATCCATTAATGCTTCTGATCATGCGCCTATATTATTAAAAAATTTGGAATATTGCTTTTGAGAAGCATTATCAGTTTAGATTTTTTAATATGTGGACCCTTCATGATAGTTATTTCCAATTGCTTAAAGACAATTGGAAGACTATGGTTGTTGGGTCTGCTGGTTTTCAAAAAAATTTTGCAAAAGTTCTTAGAAAATGGAATTGGACGGTCTTTGGTGGTCTTCATAGAAATATTGAGCGGCTTGAAGAGAATGTTAAAACTCTTGAAGCTGATTTTGCTAACAATCTTATTGATATTGATTTGTTGCTTAAAGGGAAACAACAGCTGACGGATGTCATTAATATGGAGGAGAATTTTTATGCCCAAAAAACAGCTCAACATAACTTCCTTGATGGTGACAGGAAAACTCTGCTTTTTTTTCATGCTTGCATTAAGAATCGTAGAAATTGCAATATGATTAATAAAATTACTACCATAGATGGTATTGTGCTAACTAATTCTGCTGATATTATTAGTAATGGTATTCAGTATTTCTCTAACTTGTTTGGCAGTGATGATAGGCCGCAGGTTACCATTGAATTGTTCATATGTTGTATGATAATAGAATCATGATTGATCATAACTCACTTACTAGTATTCCTAGTGGTGAGGATATTAAAGAAATCATTGATCATATGGAGGTTGGTAAAGCTGTGGGGCCAGATGGCTTTACAGCTGAATTCTATGAAAATGGTTGGGATATTATTCATATAGATGTGGTTAAGGGTATACAGGACTTCTTCAGAGGTAAAGATTTGCCTAATTATTTCAAATCTTCTAATATTGCTCTGATTCCTAAGAAGAGTAATGTTATTACTTGGGA